GGCTGTCCCGGAGGGGACACACAGAGGTGGCTGTCCGGGGTGACACAGGGGTGGCACCGCCCGGGGCTGCTGTCCCGGTCCCAGCGGGATGCCCGGGCAGAGCCGGCACCGCCGCCCCACGGGGACAGAGGACAAGCACAGCGGTACCGACACACACACACACACACACACACACACGATTGTTTGCACTCTGGGAGTCTTGGGGTAAGGACAGCTCGATGCCTACTGCCAGAATTAGAATGTAAACATCAGTTTTTTCGGGGGGAGGGGGGCGGTGTCTTGGTTAATTTAGTGGGGTTAGTTTTCCTTTGTTTGTTTGTTTGTGTTGTGATTTTTATTTGGGTAGCACTGATGTGGAGAAGGTTCTGACATCGTAATACATGGGTCTGTTGCTCTAGGACATAAGAACTCTTAGAAGGAAAGGAAATACACTTGCCAAATGAAAGCTTTTAAAAGATTTAGTTTACAAGAATCTAAAAAGTTGGAGAGAAAGGAAGAAGTCAATGATCCTCAAGTTTTTGACCTGCAGGAAATGAAACTTCTCATTGGCTGATCTTAGTCAAAGGTGCATTTTCTAAAGCACTAAATATCCTCAGTTAAGTATAAGGTTTTTAATACAGAAACAAATTGTGCATGTAGAGTATTTTGAAATACCTGAGATTTCATAGTAAAAACTGTAGCCTTTTAATACCGTATATGAAGTATCAGAACTGCTTTGGAAGTATTGTACTTACAGCCGTACAGTAACTTACTATTTGTGGACAGTTTCTCTTGCTTGCATAATAAACATTTAATAATTCACTGAATTGAAATGTATTTTATTTATGTTACAGTCAGCTACGCTCACTGGCAAGAGGAAAAACACCTCCTAGTGCTTAGGTGCTGCCATTCTCAAGTCTGTGTGCCACAGCAGTGCTTTTACATGAAGTTTTTCTGAAAGTGAAAGAGGGAGAGTCAAAATTGACTCTGAACCTCAGACCCAGGGCTCCACTATTGCATTTCTGCTGGGATAGTTGGGCACTGACCAGCTCTGGGCTTGTGCCAAACTCTCACCCTCAACACTCTGGCTTCCCCGACATTACAGGAGCACATAACATCTTCCACAGAGAAACAGGATGCAGATTTTTTTTTATTCCATCAAGGAGTGATTACAAAAAAAAAAAAAAGGTACACTGGTAAAAATCAGATTCTGCCAGTAACAAACATCCAGTAAACATTTTATTTAGATGCAAATAATCATCACTGGGATACAGGAACTCGTGCTTGTGCCCACCCCCTGCCATCTGTGAAGCTCAGGACTGTATGATTACAACACACTGATTAGGTTCAATTTCGGAAGACAGTTTTAGCAAATGGAAAGCTCAAATTCAGAAAAGCAGTAGCCCCTCCGAGACTTAAGAAAAGACTAAATTCAAAGCGGTTTCTGAAAGCTCTGCTGCTCCCCATCATCCAAAGTGTTCTGGCTTATATATGAATGTATAGTTTAATTAAAGAGGAAGCCCTCAGGGACATTCAAACACTTTTTGTTGAGACACTCATCTAGCTCAGGGTTGTGCTCGCTCTTCTGTCCCTGTATCTAAAGCCTGAAGTCCTCTCTCACTCAAGTCCTATGTCTCTAAGACAGAGATTTCTGTCAGCCCTTTTCAATCTTTGCCTACAGCAGTCCTGAAACATGTCTCCAAGCACTCCACCTTTCCTGCCTCCCTGCTTCCAAGGTCATCTTTGGCTTTTCATCTCCACTATACCTACAGACCTCCACTGAAGCAGGTAACCCAGGAACCGCACCTTGCCTGTGCCCCTCTGTCTTGCAGAACCACTAACAGCACACACCAAGCAGGCAGAACCCCGAGTTTTGGGTAACAACATCTTGTGATCTGTAATTCCGCAGAGGGAACTGAGGGCAGACAAGATGTGGCAGTGCAAAAAGCCGTGTGTGAAGTGCTTGAGCAGCTGCAGGAGCTGGAGTGTCCCTCGAGCACTACAGATAGGGACACCTCCCTGATCCCCGTAGCTGGAGGCAACAGGAAAAGCAGCAATTAAAAAAAAAAAAGTCCTCACAAAAAGCAGAACAAACTCCGTGTTTTTTAACGAGGAAGGACACTTTAAAGCTTCAGTGAGTTTGCTGTCCCATTCCTTCCGCTTTTCCCTTTTGGCAGGAAGGCACACGTACGAACACACACACACATACACACAGAGATCCAGCCTGGGCTGAGGTCACACGGCCAGGGCCAGGCTGGAGGACACGGTCACTGCAGGCCACACCCTGCGGTGGCTGCAGCTGCTGAGGTGCAGCTGGGAGCTCTGCACCTCAGTCATCCCCTTCTGGATGTGTCCTTTGAGCTTTATGCAATGAGGACCCCAAAACATCTGAAATGCAGTTCCCAAAATCGAGACTTGGAAGATGATCAAGCAATGGAATTGTTTTTCTTCAGCCCCTCCTTGATTCTCATGTTCTAAACATGGGCAGTGGAGTGCATCCCATCACAGAGCGTTATGGAATTTTGGGAGTGATACAGACTACTTTTGTTTCCTCTTTTACACCTTGCATTTGTCTAGTAGCTCTGTTACGGGTCAACTCACCTGCCAGCAAAGGAATACTTTAAAAAGTTCATCATAATTGCACCAAGGTTTAAACGCATCACCATTCACCCCATAAATACCTGTCACACGCACGGGCACTGTTCCCTGGGACCAAGGACACTGAGTGCTGGCGCCCCACGACGAGCAGGGCGGGGTCACAGCAGCTTCAGCAGGAACTCGTAGGTGGCGTTGATGATCCCCCAGGACAGCACGGAGCGGTGGCAGTTCAGGTGGGCTCCTCTGAAGAGGTGGATCACCTTCCTGTCGCGTTCCAGCCAGATCTTCACGAGCACTTTGGAGAAGGACTGAAATTCGCCACCGATCTGAGCCTGCATGCGAGTTTTTATGACATTCACAGGGAAGAACAGGAGGCCCAGCACGGCGCCCAGCAGCCCCCCGCAGATGAAGTCGTTGACCATGTGCGAGCTGTAGGAGGTGGCTTCAGGCAGGTACTGCTTGATGGGCCCCCTGAGGCCGAAGAAGAGCACGTTGCTGGGCCCGTTTCGGAGCAGAATCGGCACCAATCCCCGGTAATACTCCCGCATCCCGTAGGCCTTCAGCACCTTGAAAGCCTGGTAAGTGTTTGTGAACTTGTCGTGGTGCTTGTAGTCCTGCAGCAGCGTCTGGACGCGCTCGAAGGGCGTGAGCACGGCCTCGGTGGTGCCGGTGAGCGCGGCCGCGGCGCTGCGCGTCAGCAGCTCGGGGGCGCGGGCGTGGCTGAGCAGCAGCGCCGAGAAATCCTCGTAGAGGCCGAACATGAGCGCCATGGTGGCGGTTTTCTGCATCAGCGGCGGCAGGATGCCGCGGTACAGCGTGCGCAGCCCGTCGCGGCGCAGCTGGCGCACCGCCTCCCCCGTGCGCAGCCCGTACAGCTGCTGCCGGAACAGAACCTTCTGGATGGGGAACGTCACCATGATGTTGGTGAAGGCGGCGCACAGCCCGCACAGGTAGTGCTTGCCCGAGCTGTCCCGGCCCGCGGAGTCCCCGGGGGCTGCCACGGCAGTGCCGGCCGGAGCCATGGCTGCGGTGCTGCGGCTCCAGAGCCTCTTCCCTGTGCAGGAACAACCCGAGAGAGCTGTGCTGAGCCCGCTCTGCCCACTACTGCATCGCCACAGCGCCCTGCTCACCGACAGCCCCTACAGTCTGCAGGGGAAGAGCTGCAAAAGCCGCGTCTGATGGATACTCTGCCATTTCTGCACAAGTCTAGGAGGCCATTGAAAGCAGCAGCTCTTCCCTTCTGTGCTCTTTCAAACTAAAACAGAAGTAAATCCCCCTGGAATTACGAATTCTAACAGTGAAAGGCTGACACTCACACTAATAAAACACCCTGTGAACAAAAGAGAGGCCACCAAAAAAACCTACAAAATCCCAAACTTAATGAAACACATGCAGCAATGTTACAAAACCTGATCCTTACACTCTGCCTCTCCCTGTGGCAGAAAAGACCAGATAACACTTTGTCGTGGCTCAGCTCAGCCAGCAACTGAGCACCACCACGCACAACGGAGGCACAGGTGTCACACAGGTGTGATTTCACTGACACAGTGGAGAAATTCTTTAGAGGTCCCAGGTCACTGCCATGCAGCCTCCTCTGCATCAGCCCCCACGCTCCACGTTCTGCTGACAGGCTTCACAGGTCGAATTTAGCCAGGCCCAGGGTCCTGAAGGACATGTGGACAGAGGCAGCTTGAGCAGATAGTCTGGAGGAGAACAGCAGGGATCTTTACCTGGCAAACCCTGTTTGACAAAAGAATGGAATTATTTATTTAACAGTTATGAAAAGATGTTTCTGCAGTTGCCCAAATCCCGCCCTTAGTCACAGCCCTGCTTGAGAAAGGTCCGTGTGAGACTGTGGGTGGTTCCTGAGCCTCAAATCCTCCCCAGCAGCAGCAGCACACGAGATTCCCGGGATCTGAAGGGGTGTTTGGGGACAACAGCCCTGCCTGGTATGAGGTGCGACCGAAACGAGGAGGGGAGTGAGAAAGGAGGAAGGAAAAGGGAAGGAGGAGCGAGAGGGAAAGGAGGGGGGAGAAACAGGGAGGAGGAAAGGGAGGGAAGAAAAGGGCGGGAGAGAGGAAGAAAGAGAGGGTAGAGCAAGGATGGGGGAAAGAATGAGAAAGGTCTTTGTTTTCCGAAGCTCCCGCAGCCTTTGATGCGAGCACGGGGAAGCCCTCGCGCTCCCGGGGCGGGAGGAGAATCCCGGGAGGCTCCGGCGAGGCCCTCCCCGCTCTCGGGGGCCGGAGCTCCGCACTGCCCGCGCACACCGGGAGCCGCTCCCGATCCCTCCCGACACCGTGATCACCCCGCAGGGCCCACACCGGCACCCCCCGCGCTCCCCGCTGCGATTCCAGTCCCGGCAGCGGGGCCCAAGGTCAGGGCGGCGGCGGCGGCTGCGGCCCGGCCGGGCCCAGGGAACCGCGACCTGCTGCTCCGCCGGCGCCTGCGCGGCCGCGGCAGCGACGGAGCCCGCGGCGGGCGGGCGGGACGCACCTGCGGGCGGTGCTGCCATGGCGGGAGCGGAGCGGGAACGGGAGCGGAGCGGGAACGGGAGCGCTCCGGGAGCGGGATCGCGGCGCCCCAAGCGCCCGGCCCGGCGCGGCCTCGCGCCGCTCTCTGACGTCACCGCGCCGCCGTGTGACGTCACCACGCCACCACGCGGGGCGGGGCCAGCGGAGGGCGCGGGGACCCAGCGGAGCCAACCGGCCACGTGACACGGGCCACGCCTCCGCGCGTGTCCGCCAATCAGACGGCGATGTCTGTCTAGCCACGCCCTTGGGGGCGGGGCGAGGCGGGCGGGAGCGGCCCGGGCTGGGCGGGAACGAACGGGCAGGAACGGGCGGGCTCCGGTGAGCCCCGCACGGGAACGGGCGAGTTCCAGTGAGCTCCGCTCCTCGCGGGAACGGGCAGGAATGGGCGGGCTCCGGTGAGCTCCGCACGGGAACGGGCGAGTTCCGGTGAGCTCCGCTCCTCGCGGGAACGGGCAGGAACGGGCGGGCTCCGGTGAACTCCAGTGAGCTCCGCACGGGAACGGGCGGGCTCCGGTGAGCTCCACTCCTCGCGGAAACGGGCGGGCTCCCGTGCGCTCCGCTCTCTACGGGACCGGGCCGGACTCTTGTTCCTCCTGCGGCCGCAGGTGTTCGCCGGTGGGATCTAGCCCGGTCGCTCCCCGGGAGCGGCGGTGCTCGCCCGGGCTCTCCCGGCGGAGTCTCTCCCGCTGCGGAGTTGAGTCTGTTGTGTCGGCTCGGTACCGATTCGTTACGGCCCGTTTTTATTTTGGCGTTTATCGCTGCATGGGGCCGGGCGGTCTCCGCTTTCCCCCCGGGCCCTGGAGCGGCGGAGGGGCCGCAGCGGGCACGGGCGGGGCTGGGACAGCGCGGGGGGCTCGGTGTGCCCGGACCCGAGCTGGGGGTGCCGTGCCGGGCAGCGGCGCTGCCGTGATCAGAACGAGCCGGGTCTGTCCTTGCGGGGCTGGGCCGGGGGCTGCGTTCGGTTCGGTGAGTGGGGGCTTCGGGATTGAACTCGGACTCGGGGAATGGGGGGTTGGATCCTTTCTGCTTAATCCCTCTCCTGGCTGCAGGGTCCTGCTCTGTCCTGGGGTACAGTTTGGGTCACACCTTCCCCAGGGAGCCCCCTGTCCGTAGCAGGACCTGCGGATTTGTTTTTTTGTCCAAAAGCCCCCGGTTAAGCAATGTAATTCTGACTGCCCCGAGAGCACAGAAAGCCCAGGACAGCTCATGTGGCCTTGCTGGGGGGCTCGGGGTGACAGTGGCCAGACCCCGTGTCTGGGCAGCTGTGCCCTGGACAGACACGTCCAGCGTGGATTTGCATGTCCCTGTCACCCTGGGGTCCTTCCCAGGTCAAGCTTTGCCCTTCCTGTACTGATGAGAGGACACAGTCTCAAGCTGTGTTAGGGGAGGCTCAGGTCGGATATCAGAAGAATCTTGTCTCATCATGAGCAGACATTGGAATGGGCTGCCAGTGGAGGTGTTTAAGCAGAGACTGGATGTGCTGTGTTCCAGCTGAGAGGGAATGATTGGTCAAGGGTTGGACTCCATGACCCTGGAGGTCTTTCCCCATCTCAGATTCTGTGAGCTCTGTGACCCTGTCCTCACCCCCAGGTGCCGATGGACGTGGTGTCCTGCCAGTGACAGCTCCCCCTGTGCCCTCTGTGCTCGCCCAGCCTGGGCTGCCCTGTCCTGCAGGGCTGGCACGAGTGGTGCCTGGGCTACTGCAGCACAGACTGGCCCAACCAGACCAGCTGGACCGGCAGACCAGGCTGGAGATGCCTTCTGGAGCACTGCCTGCCCTCCACACCCGGGAGCAGGCAGGGCCTGGGGTCCTCCAGGTACCGTCCCTGTTCCCACGGTGGAGGGGCTGGTGCTGGCTCTGCGTGGCTGTGGGGGTGAGTTTGGCAGCCTGAGGCTGCCCTGGCCACCACTGGCCCCTGTGGCTGGCTGGAGTTGCTGCCCAGCACACGAGGGGCAGGGTGAGGTGCTGCAGAGGTGGAGGTGGTGGGGCAGGGCAGCCTGGGGCCAGCACTGGCCAGCACTGCCCCGTGCCCCTGCCTGCACCCCTCCTGCTGCTCTGCTGCTCCAGGGTGTCCTGTGGAGCCCACGGGGGACAGTGGGGACAGCAGGTGACAGAGCAGCCAGCTGCACAGCCTGACGTGGAGCTGGAGCTCAGGGCCCTGCAGCAGGAGAAGGGAGCCCAGCCTTTGGCCAGCTCTCCTGGCAGTGCCTTTCACCGCTCATTTACTCACAGGGGCAGGTGAAACTGGAAGGAAACACCTTTGGGGACCTGACCCCTGCTGGGCACTGCATGCAGGACAGAAGAGTGCTGTGCTGCTCTTCCCTCTCCCTGCTGCTCCACCAGCTCCTTTCCTGGGTTCCAGCCCAGGTGAAAGACAGGTTGTTGGCAGTTCCTTCTTTCTGCACAGTGGTGTAATCACAAGTGGAAGTATTAATATGGGGGCAGATTGGGGTCACCTTGCTAGGCCCACTCGAGTTTGTAAAGGCACAGCTGCAGAGATGGGGGGCTGCAATATCAGCCCCTGGCCATGCCCTTCACCATGGCCAGGCCTGGCTGGTGCCTGCTTCAGTCTGAGATCAGCTGAGAGGAGAGGATTTTGGCTGGGGACACACACTGGACACTGACCTGAGGTTTTCCCTCAGTGTCATCTCACCCTGCAGTTGCCCACAGCTCTCAGTTTTGTGCCTGTGGCTGACAGGATGGTGGTGGCGAGGGCTGGCTACCACCACTGCCAAAATCCCCAGTGCTGGGGGCTTTGGAGGTTCCTCTCCAGCCACCTGCCCAGAGCAGGACCAGCCCCAAAGGGTTGGGACAGCTCAGGGTTTGGGCCCATTTGTCATTCCATGGCTTTAAAAGACTGTAGCAATAAGTTTTGGGAGGTGGGGAGGAAGGGGAGCATTGCCTGCCCAGCTCTCAGTGGGAGTTTGCTCAGGTAGGAATTAGCAGCTGGAGTAGGAAGGAGGAGTATCAGCAGGAATTTCTGGCTGTGAGCTGTGGGCTTGGGGCAGTCTGAAGGGGAGCATGGCAGAGCTGGTCAGAGCTGGGGGTCCTGGCACAGCCCAGCCCAGGGCCAGCTGTGGGGACATGGCAGTGGCCTCTGCAGGAACTGAGTGTGCCCCATGGGGATGGGCCATGGTCACATCCTGCTGGGCTCCACGTGCAGCTGAGACTGAAGGAAGCACCCGTGGGGAATGTGCAAATAAAGGGAGGTGTAATTTAATTACCTTCTGATCTCTGCTGTTTGCCGAAGTGGGCTATGCAAGGGCAATTTGTAATTATTTCTTAACACTTACAAGATGTGGATTTAAGACCTGATTTTGTTTGTCCAGAAAATATTGAACACGTCTGCTGTGTAAATATTGAACTGCTTTCTTTAGGCGGCCAGGCTGTGATGAGCAGTGCCCGTGCCTGCAGTTTGCCAGCCCGGGAGGTTGCAGGTGCACAGGGGCTGCAGGAGGGAGAGCTGCTCCCTTTGCTCACACCCTGCTGCTCACACATCCTCGTGCTGGGAACGCCATCCTCCACAAACCCCCAGGGTTTGGGCTGTCCTTGTGCCCGACCACGGGCAGCAATGTCCACTCCAGGCTGGACATCCACAGGGGAGCCAAGCCCTGTGCTGTGCGTGCCCCTCCTGCTCCCACACCAACCCCAGGGCATCCAGCACAGGTAACACTCACCTGTTGTCAGCTGTGCTCTTCAGCCTGTTCCTTAGGCTGCTGTGGATGAATCAGAGCCAGGTACAGCACAGTGCTGCCCAGTCCTGGCACAGTGTCCTGCTCTGATTGATGGTGCCTGCCTTAAATCACTGTACACAGAGGGGACCCAGTGTCTGAGCACAGGGACGGGTGTCCTGTCACCCAGCACTGCCCACAGTGGCTTCACGTGCCAGGTTCCTCCTCCAGTGCTGTTCTTTATGGGGAAGAAAACAGATTACGATGGGACTAATAAAGGGGAATATTTTAGGCCTAATTGAGCAAAAACCGTGGGAGAAACAGACACAGATAAATGTTCCCTGGCCAAGAAGTAACCTAGAAACACATTGTGAAACTTTGTGATAAGGTTACTTTGTGATATCATGAGGAGTGTGTAACCAATGGGAGATTGTTACCCAAATACAACCCTGTATAAATGCCGTACAAGTAAAACCCTACAAAAACGCCTTGTGTACTCAATAAAATTGGCTTCTGATCACAGCTTGTAATGTCCCTGTCTCTCCATCACTGACAGTGCCCTGAAACACGGGCTGGGTGTACGGTGGATTTTTCTTTTGGTTAGAAACTTGACCTCGACTCGTCTCTCCAGGGAGTGGAGTAACCAGGTCAGTGTGGGTGCAGGATGTGGGGGAGGACACAGTGGCACTGTAGGACTCACACTGCTGAAAGGTGAGGACATGTGGGCCCCCAGACTGGTAATGACGCTCCCATCTGGGCTTCCAGAGCCCCAGAGCGGGAGAGTCAGCTGGGGGAAACAGAGAGCTCTGAGCAGCTCAGCCCCACAGTCCCTGTCAGGACTCCACACCCTGCTCCCTTCAAGCACTTTTTGGGCAGTCCCACTATTGACTCTCCTTCTGCACGCTCATTCATGCCCAGAACTTGCTCTCCCTTAGAGGCTGTGAAATCAGAGAAAGCATTTTTTTTTCCAGGAAAGCAGGCGGTTCAGTCTCGATTTCCCAGCGGTTTGTGTTTCAGCCCTGGCGTGGTGTGCCCTCCTGCTCTGCCCCGTTCCCCCGGGAGAATTCCCGTGGCCTCTGTGTCGCCGTGCAGTGCCCCAGGGCGGGGTCCCTCCTGCCCAGGTTGGACCCACCCCCCATGGCCCCACACCCGAGGGGACCCTGGGCTCCCGAGTGGCTCCCAGTGCCCCAGCAGGGTGGGTGGGGGCTGCCACAGACACGGGAACATCTCTGGGGGATCCCCCCACCTTCTCCGACCTCGTTTCCTGATGCCATGCAGGGAAGCTGACTGTTGGATCTCAGAAACCTGGGTTTTTGAGCTTTCTGGGCTTTCTGGCACTGACCCCCTAGAAAACAC